AAAGTGGACTAGCTCAGGCTTTAATGGCTCATTGATAAAGGGGGATGGGCAGGAAGCTGCAGGAAGCTATTCTGTCCTTTAAAACATGTTTCTTCCTTTTTTCACAACCAGAGAAATATTCTGCCTTTTCAATATTTCCTAGGATATTTCATTTTTCTGGGAGAGGGCTGGGTGATAACTTCCTACAAAATCATAAGGACATTGTGAGCTGATCAGTATTGTTTCCTTTTGGTTGCTTGCCTAGTTACAAGAATCCAGCTGGACTCTCTTGGAAACAATCAGATAAGGGCTTCAGGGATTTTATTTTTTGGAGTGTGGAGGGGTCAGTTTTTGTGGCTTTCAAATGTTCACTTCAATTTACTCAGAAGCAGCTCCTTATCATGAAGGAGAAATTTCCTGATGGTTAGAACAATTAATCATGGAATGACTTGACTCCAGAAATTGTGAGTGCTCCAACACCGAATAATTTTAAGAAGAGGAGAATTGTTGGTCAGGAAGGGTGTAGACCAGAGGTCCCCAAATTTGGCAACTTTAATACTTGTGGACTTCAACTCCCAGAATTTTCCAGCTGGAGAATTCTGGGAGTTGAAGTCCACAAGTATTAAAGTTGCCAAATTTGGGGACCTCTGGTCTAGGGTTTCCTGCTTGAGCAGGGGGTTGGACTAGAAGACCTCCAAGGTCCCTCCAACACTGTTATTCTGTTAAATCTAAGCAACTGGAAGTCAGGGGGAGCAGAACTTCTGGAAGTGCCCAAGGAATGCCCATTTGCAGATTGCAAAGTCCTGGCTTCATTTATTCTGCAGAGGTCTTCTGCTTTCGCTTTCCTTGGGGGTGGGATGCTCCCCAAAGGCCCTGGACTGCAGGAGGACCTTTTCAGCTGCCTCCAAGCTGAACCATAGGGCTGGAAGTCGCATTTTTTTGTCTGTTCACTGGGTGCATCTTTTTCTTCCAGAAGTTCTCCGCACCCTATTGTGGTGGGGCATAGAGACCTCCAGGAAAAGAAAGCGGGGCAGACTCAGTTCCTGCTCAGTTTAAGCAAAGATAAAAAGACTTAGTAAAGGGGAACCCCCATCCAGGCATGGGAGAGAGAGGCAGGGGGACCCTTCAGACTTAGCACTGAGCCTCCCCTCTCCAAGGAGGACTGAATACCCAAAGGCCTTTCCTTAATGCTCCCTAATGGCCAGAGGCAGCTTGCTCTGCTTGAGAACTATGGCTGCTAAGTCTCTGCCCCCTCTCCTCCCCCTCCCACTTGGTGAGATGCAGGGAGAAGAAACCCAGCTGACTCTCTGCAGATGGCAGGACCACCGATTCTTCTGCTCTGGATGAGCTCTGAAGCTGAGCGAGGCTTCTTTGGCTGTGCTGGGGCTGCTTCAGAGCCCAGATTCTGTCTAGGGGAGGTTTCCTAGCTGGGATCTACAGGACCTCAAGACACCCCCCCTTCCCCGTCCTGCCCAGGAGGCAGCCTGTAAAATCCGTGGGCAAGCAGAGGGAGCTGAACAGGAAGTGTCTGCTGCCGGTCTTCCTTAGAAGGGAAATGCCGGACAGATGGACAGCCTAGGAAAGGCTTTGAAAGAAGATCAAAGGGGATTCCGTCCAGCGCAAGGAAAGGCAATTCTGCAAATGTTGTCAGTTAGAAAAGCTGATCCCAGATTCCTGCTGAATTGATCCTCATTAGATCAAGGAATGTTTTAGGTGCCAAAAGGGGTTTGAGGAAATATCAGGGTTGTTGTGAAAGAATGACCAAGGACAGGAGGGGTAGGAGAGGTCATCTAAGGTGGGGAGAAGGGGGCACAGGGAGCATTTGGACCCCCAGTTCTCAGTGACCTCTCTAAAGGAAGAGTTTGGGGAAAGAACCCCCTTCTCTCCCCCTTCCCTCCTGGGACCAGAGAAATGACCTTTAGTTTCCAAAATGCCCACCCTTGAAAACTTCTCTTTCCTTCCCTTCCTCCTCTCCTCCCCTCCTCTCTCCTTGCAGGAGTGTTTATAATGCAATCTTCCTGTTCCTGTTTTTTTTTAAGTGCTGGGAAATTTTATTCCTGACCCAGTTCTGAAGTGGACGCTGCAGAGACACAGGCTGCGTGGGGCTCTTAGGAAGAGAAGGCATTTCCCGTGGAGGGGGGGAGACCAGCAGGGAGAAATCAACCTCTTTTGTTTCCTGCAAAAGATCCTTTAGAAAGATCATGGCTGGGTCAGTAATTAAATAAGGGAGCTGCTAATTACTTAATTGCCTCTTCTTTCTAGGAAAGGGAGAGGTCAGGATTTAACAATCTGAAGTGGAAAAATCCTGCTTAGAGGGAAGCAGCCTCTTCATGAAACAGTCACATCACTTCATTTTCAGGAACTCACCAGACATGGAGAAAAGCGCAGGAGGAGATTCACAGGGCATAAAAAACCAGCCATGTCTAAAGTCTGAGGTGGAGCCAGTTTGCACCTTCGACGTGAGAGTTAGTGGTAGGTTTGCTTTTCCTGACAAGTGACACGGTCACAATATCTGGGGACTCCCTTCTGACAGCCTGTTGGCCAGGGAGATGTGGAGGCAGAGGTCGGGGATCCCCTTCAAAGGGGCAGGAGGGCCTCCAACTGCCGCTTCGCTGGCTTGAAAACCACGATGGGCTCCTTGCTTGGTGGAGACAGCCCTTCCGGTGAAGGTAGCATAATCCAGAATCCATGGTGGAGTCTTTCAGCTCTTGGCCACCAAGGTGCAGAGCAGCCCCACTCACCCAAACATCAGGTAGCGGCAAATCTTACACAAGACCCACCAAAGATCAGAGCTGAAATCATAGCCATTTTATTTGGTGGGGGCAGGAAGGAGGAGGCAGTAGACGTGTCCTAGCTGTGGAAAATAACAGCCTTCCTTCTGTATTTCTTTGGGACCCATTTCAATGGTTGTTATGATGAATGCTGAGTTACTTCATACTTAATGGTATCCCAACACTAGAAGTGCCTTTAAGGCACAGGAAAGCCTTGGTCACATCATAGAGTTGGGAGGAAACTTGGAGATGATGTGTCCAGCCCTTGACCAGTGCAGGGGTTTGCTACATCATTCCTGCCACATGACCATCTGGCTTCTGTTTAAACACCTCCAGTAAAGGAGATGTCTGTGGCTGTGCTATTGTTGAATAACTGTGACCTCTAGCAAATGTTCACACAATGGTATATTTGGAAGCGACCTGAGAAACTATCTAGTAGTTCATTTTCCTTCTTGATGTGGGATCTTCTAAAACATTTTGGATAGGTGACCA